TCATGCTCCACTCCAACAAGTTGCACTCAAGACCTTACAAAGGTGACTGTTCACCATCATGCAGGATGCTATTGGCATGCATGTTAGTATGCACCCCAGGAATGCACTCCACTGCAAATGAATTCCATATAACCATGTCGTTGGCTGTTCTGGTATCAATCTGGAAGCTTTTTGAACTTGGTGTCCAGAGTGGACCAGAAAAATTGACCACAATTTGAAATTTAATTTCTTTAAAAATAAACATCACAAGAACTTTCTAAATATTTCATTTCCAAGATAATTTAATAACTTGGGAAATCCAATCACTCTTGCATCAAGTCAAGATCAAATACTAACTCTGCTCACACAATCAAGAATTATGAATGGATTGACATTGCTTACATGAGCTCAAAGTTTGCAAAGGAGCATCCATATCTGAGCAAAATCATAACATCTGATCATGCATTTTGACACAGTCAACATGGCAGACTTCTGACTACCCTTAACACAAAAATTCCAGGCTTCTTTTACACAAAATGCTATGAGAGTTGAGAGACAAATGAGCTTGATCCTGGGTCAATTGCAAGTCAATTCTTCAAGTGTTTCAGCAATCACATGAAACTGGAAATGCCAAACCAATCAAAATGACAGGATGGCCCAGACTGCTGGCCACTATTTGAATGAGGTTCTTGTTCACCCTAGTGGTTATTGGAAACTGAAACTTTCTTAACATCCATCAAACTTCCTTGGTGTAATTAAATCTGAAAATAAGTTTTTCATGGATAAATCTGGATAATGAATAAGGTGTAACCAAAATGTGCCACCACATTGGCCATATGCAAAGGAATCATTTTGTCACATAATACTTCATTACTTGAAGTAATCTTACTTGAATTAAATACACTTTTTCTCAGTAATTCATGATCATTTTCAGCTTAACAGCTTGTTTTTATTATGCTTTTCAATCCCATCGCCACTGCTGCATTCACTTCAATGAGTGCATTCTCCACTGAGTTCTTTCTTTGTGGCCAGAAACAGATGGATACAAGACAACAGAGATTGGGCAAAAATTCCCAGTTCCAGCTTTCAAAAATAGTGATCACACTCCACTTGACACACAGCCTCATTTTTCACAAAGGAGAAGGAATGACTCCTTATGCCTATCACTCATGCAGAATAAGATCATTGTTTTTCTCCTGATTTAAATCCCTGTGACTTCTTTCTGTTTTCAATCATGAAGTACAAGCTCGGTGGAGTTTTGGAGTCAATATCTTTTGACTTTTGTCATTTTCCATTTTTTGCTTTTCATCTCTGTCTATGGCCATGGAGTAGGCTCTATTTGGAATGATGAAGCCTAAAGAAAGTGCCACCCAGGGATAACAGAACACATCACTGAGGCAGAAGTGATTGCCTTTAGAGAGCAGTTGAAGGGGCAAAGAGCGATGACAAAAACTTTTAATACCATGCTTTTGGAATCACCATGCCATCTTTGTGTACAAGGTTCAATTCTCAGAACTCTCTTTTGGACTTATGGTACTCTCATGTACTCAAGATTCTGGCCAAGTCCTGAAGAGATCATGTTCTAGTTCAAGCATTACCTCTTTCAGATGCAACAGCAACATTCCCGGTGAAAATCAACCTTCAGGAGGCTCAGAGAACTTTCTGGCAACAGCAATGTCCCCTGTTCTCATGACAAAGCACCTTGTTCCAAGGTTCTGCCTATTCAAGAACTGCTGCAAAAAAATCAAATTAACTTTTTTGACATTGTAAAATGGTTAGGGAACTCCCACAACCCGAATTTCTATGAAAACCTGGGAACTATTGTGAAAGACTGAAATGAGACCAAAATGTTCTCTGAGCTTCCCTATGGTCAAATTTCATGAGCAAGGTTGCTGTTCCCCCAGAAAGAGGTGCTGCCAGAACCACAAGAAGATAGAGGAAAGTGATCTTTTGAGGACCTGGCTGGAATCTTACTCTGGCACACAGCATGCTGTCCATCAAGCAAATATTCTATCAATATTCTGTTTGACCTCCAACAGAATATTGATAGCATGTCTATGTTCTCATTTATATCATTTAGTCATGGTGTGTCTAAGATCCCCATTCTGAAGGTCACCTATTCTGAAGAGGAGGGGTCTAATGTTATGCTCCATCCTGTTATCTTTCACACATCCTATGGGAGCTAGGTCTCATGAATCCCTTGAGTACTTTCAGAGTTCAAACAGTCCTTGATTCAACCATAACTTGAAACTTGGCTCACTTAGAGATGTTGATAGAGGCAAGAGTGTGCCAAATATAATATTAATGCAAGAGTGTGAATCCAGGAAGGGGAAAGTCATATGGAACAAATGAGCAAGGGTGGCCTCTTTTCCCCAAAGACATGGGCTTCAAAAGTTGATGGACTCTGTAACATGGCAATACAATCTAGGAATACATTCAAGGGTGTCTGAAAAGTTTCCAGAAACATCTAATGAAAGCAAAACCATTGTTTTCATTGCTACCAAAATCAGTACACAGAAAGATGATGCCACCTGAAGCCCTCAAAAAAAATCACCGTTTGAATCTATGTACTTCTGCCATCTGGAGGGTAAGGATTGTATATCCCATCTGCAGAACACTTTCTTGTTGTAGCCATGATCTTAGAGAATTTTTAAGATCTTCACCACTGATGAAGCATATTCCACAAAGTTGGCCCTTCAACTGGCCAAACTGATGACAGTCAGAGTGGGTTATGTCTGGGCTATATGATGGGTGGTTGGCAACAGTCAACTGAAAGTTGGTGATAACTAGCATTTTTTTTACTACCAACTACAGCAAGATACAGGTTTCCGTGGAATGGGTAGACAATTATTGCCCTCCAGATGGTATAAGTGCATAGATTCAACTGTTTTCATTTTGTGTGATGTTTCCATGTACTGATTTTGGTAGTGAAGAAAATAATAGTTTAGTTTTTATTTCATGTTTGTGGAAACTTTTTGGACACCCATCTTATGTTATGTCAACATATGAGTCTAAATGCAATAGTGAATCTGAGTTTCTTTGAATAGGGAATATTAACCCTTCAAGTCGTTTTCATGCCATACATGCATCACTTAGGAGGTCTAGTCAAAACTCAGCACTTGAAGGGTTAAGCATTTCAGCTCCAAAGATGCACAATGTGGGCCTTTCCTTGGAAATACTGATGATGCCCATTATACAGATAACCCTATTGTTTTTCAAAATTGATGCCTTTCATCAGAGTGGAGAAAAAATAATGAATAATCATAAGTAAAATATGTGAATATACCTGGCAAAAAAAATTGAGGACAACAGTCTGAAATTCCACTCAATACCATAAATGGGTGGGAAAACATCATATCATGAGGCAATGGCAAAGGACATGGCTCTCCCACTTCTGGAGGAAAGAAAACACCTTGGGAAGCTGGAAAGCAAGTTTACTTTCCTTCAGGTATGACAGCCATATAAAGTAGAAGATTGAGAGGGGATTTTACAGATTGCAACTGAAACCATTTGAATCAAGCTGCTGTTTTTACTGTGTGTACTTGATGTCTCCAGCATGCTTTCATACACCATCTCAGATGGCTTTACAAGTTGTTGGAGCCATTTGAAATGCAGCTACCAACAGAACATGGGCAGCCAGAGAATATGAAGTCAACCATCAGTCATACAGCTGTGGGAATGCTATCAGCAGACTGGGACTGTGACCAAGAGACCAAGAACTGGTCAACAACCCTCCATCAATACAGAAATTTGGTGGTTTGACGAGGTGGAATTGAGTTTTTTTTTTGTCAGAGCCCACCTTGCAAGGAAACCTCCATTGCATCACCTTAAGTTCAAGTTTCAGTGCAACTAAATTGTCAGAGTGAAAGACCTCCATATATCTTTGCAACACATATTGACCCTAAGAGGAAGACAGAAATGACTTTTTTTTTAGCATGCAATTATGTTGGATGAGCTGATTGGCAATGGGAGCCTGTTTTTTTCTCTGATGAGTCAAGAGTCAACATAGATGTTTCTGATGGTTGAGCTCAAGTACAGAGGGGAGCAGTGGGAGTGACTCGTCCACTGTGCCATTGCACAAGATTGATTTGGAAGGGGAAGTGTTATCATGTGGGCTTGCATTCCCCACTGAGGATTTGCAGATAATTGTTCATCATACCAAGAGGGTATCTTACTGGACAGTACTTGGATCTGATAGTAGAATCTTTGGTCATTCCTTTCCAAGCAGCAATGGGATAATAGGTGTCCACACAGGGGTATCATGATCTTGGATGCTTGGGACACAGTTCCTGTTACCCATTTACCTTGGTGTCCACATTCACTGGACCTTAATCCCATTGAACATGCAAAGGGGACATGTTGGGGAGAAGAATTTGCTGAAGAAATCCTTTTTTCAAACCCTCCAGGACATCCATCATTTAACTTCCAGCATAAACCAGCATGTCCAAGCTGGGATTCTGTCAAGAGGTGGTCATACCAACTACTTATGATCACTGTTCATCAGGGAACCAATTGGCATGCCTTTGTTGCTATGGTCTTTGACTTTTTTCGCTTAACCTTAAATGGAGAGAAAAAATTGTGTTCAGATATTGGGGCTGAAGAGATAAGTTATGGTATGTATCAATAAACTATAGCTTACTGCAAAGATTTGCTTGCAGGGAAGTCAGACATACCAAAAGTGAGTTTGAGTAAAAATCAATTTCAGCAATTCAGGCTTTCAAATGAAACCCATCTGGGAGATTCACATTTTGCATGGGAATATGTCTAGCTCCACAGATACCAGAATCTATCATGCAGGAGCACAAATAAAATTCCATACACCTGTACAGCTCAAGGTGTACTGCAAACATATACCTTGAGGTAAATGTTTGCAACAATAGCAAACACTTCTGTCTACTTTAATCTGTGTACATCCTCTGATTAACTCTGAGGTCCACCTGACATTCATCACTGGGCACATGGGCAAAATTTCTGCAGTCACATGCTGGGATGTCTGATATGGATTGGTGTTAATGAGAGGATCAACAACTGGTAGTGTGATGAATCTGGCCAATGTGATCAGATGTGGCTGTCAGGTGGACCTTGAAGAATGTGAGACAGACTTGAAACCAGCATCTGCACCAATTGGAAAGCTTGAGGTAGATAGTTATATTATAATACAGCAATACATTATCTTTTCACTATATGCTGAGATTCCCGGAAAACACAAGGCATTTAATGAAATGATAGATTTCACCATATGCTTACTTGTATCTTGGACACAAAGGCCATTTCAACATGGCACATCAACATTTATATGAGTAACTGATAATAACCTATGGAAGATGGCATAAACAAGTAACAATTCTTATTAGTACTGAAGGCAATCATAAATATGTCCCAAAATGTGCCAAGGAAAAAATATCAGATTAGCAGGAACCATTCCCAACAAGATGGTGGCATTATTCTTAGTTGAGGGGGGACTGTACTGAAGCAGGGAAGAGAGAGGGAAAAGGCCAATATATCAGTTTTGTGCACTTGCCAACAAGGGGTGCTTTTTGCATATGTGCATGGAGGACACTGTCTCCCCTTCTTCTGTCATCCCTGGGTATGGGAAATGATCATGCAACTGATCATATAATTTATCTCTGCTAGCATTTTGGTCATTGTTTGATAAAATAATAAATGACAAATGTAGCATTGCTAGAGACATGTATCCCCAGACAAAATATCATATGTTTCATCGATATGTAGTGCTCCATTGTAAACCATATGGAAATTTGAATGCAACATGATCCCTCATATCAGAGATGTCCTTTGATTTGCAACTAAGATAGACAAGAGGGGACCATTCCTGCTTCTCACACCTCAAGGCATGATGGCAAACATGAAAGATGGTAGTTTAGATGGTGCTTAAGCTTTGAAATATTGTGAAACAATTAAGTAATGGGATTGTTAAACACAAATGAGGGAAAAATACTGACTTGTCAACCATCTGTGTGAGACGAACATATGCGATGCATGCAGTGTCCTCGCCTAGAAGGTGGACATGAGGGTTCAAGATCGTCGTGTTGATCGCCTTCCAATTCTTTGGCATCACTGCTGAAACCCATCCATGCATGTATGCATCAAAATCATTAAAATAAAGGGTTCCTGCAAAATATTAAATTTCCTTAACTCTTCAAGGTTCCCTAGACCTTTCCAAGGATGACTTCCCAGACCAAAATTTGCCCTTCTATGCATAACCTCCACACATTTGCTTTCTTCTCTTTTGTGAATTAAGTAACAGAGTTTGCCTATTTCCTTGATTTTTTCCAGTTACAGGACATTGACTCAAATTATATTCCTGCTTTTTGGATTGTATTTCTATTTCCCTCACTTGGGATTTTCCAGGCCTAAGGGAACCCAGTGATAATTTTCATCATCTTTGAAGGGTCTGTGATTCATCAATAAGAGTTTATATTGATCCATGCTGAGCAGTTATCAAGAGGAGACTGCAAAATTTAGAATACAGGGAAGAAATGAGGCTGCATTTTGAACTAGCCACTGCTTCTACATCTTTCAGATACAAACAACTGTATTGGATAGGTATGGTTGATAAACAAGAGTATGATGACTAGGGAGCAGATTTGTAAGAAAATGTATTTTCCCCCCACCATTTTAGGTGCATAGAACCTGGATAAGAGCACATAATAATCACAGAGAAAGTGAATGCCATTTTCCTAATTTATAAAAATGCATAGTTTGGCGTTTCCATGCAATTCTGCATATTAATGCATATATATACATATTCACACATACATTGCCTGTTTTATGGTAGGAAAATCTAAAGTGAACAGGTTGCCAATTTTCAGGAAAAGAGACCTTTCTCTGATTTCTAGGAAAAGGTTGGGACATGTAAACTGTAACAATCCACTTCAAATAAAATAAATGCTGGTTGAGAAGTGCATATTTGTTCATATTTTCATGCATATTTTAAACTTGGCATTTTCCCTACATATACTTATATATGTATTTCATTACTAGTTAGACATAAAAACCTGCTCCCTATTGATGACCCACCATTGTCAAAATAGAACTTGTGGAACTCGAGTCCCTCAATGAGGTTTCCCAAAGCCTCAGGTTCAAATGCAGTCATTTGAGGATCACAGATCTTCCTGCAAAATCCACATCCATAACATATGATTTGCAATATAAATCAGGAAAGGGACACACTTATGAGAAAAGTTTCACTCACGTGTATGTCTCATAGTCACTGGTGTTCACGGCTTCTATGAGTTTCTCTGTCATCTTGATGATCTCTTGCTTTCGGGCTGATGATGAGAAAAAAATAAAGAAAATGGGATTGTCATTTGGACCTTCTTTACGAATAATTCACTTCACTGAACTCAAGTGGATGATGAGAGGAGATTCATTCCTAACTGCATACAATCAGAGCTCTCTTTCTCTTCTACAACTCATCTGCTTCCCTGCACCTACACATTAAGGCATGCCTACATTTCGTACTAAGGTCTACAGCCACAGAGGGAAATATGAAGCTATGAACTGGAGAGATTTCTTGACAACCAGACCATCTTTCCTTCATGCAAACTCCAATCCTGATGTTTCTGTCAATAGTCACAAGACAAGACCAAGAACAAGTTATCTAGGTAGACACCCTGTGACAGCTCTCCCTAAAATGGCAATAGGCCTAAGTTTCACTTTCCTTGAATATGGCCTGACTTTCTCATATCTTACTTAGAGCCTTGACAATTTCCCTAGGGAAATACTACAAAAAAAATACTTCTTCCCCTTCCTATCCTTTTCTGTCTCTCTCTGGTCACTTGTTGCCTATCATTGAGTGAGACCAGCAGGTCCCATTTATTAACCAAAGAAACAATCCATAATTAAAAAGATCCAAATCCATGTAAGAACACCTAACACTATACTCATCGCCAAAAAAAAAGTCACACCAAGAAGGAGTTGACCATGTCATGAAATTTGGTAATCATATTCGTATTAGTGCGTTATGAAATTGAAGCTAGTTTCAAAGTCTTGGAATTCACAGAAAAAACTTGCTAAACATCCCAATTTAAATGGGGTCGGAAGGGTCGTACTTATCGCCCACAAAGAACATCTAGAAAAAGTTTATTAATGAAATGTGAAACAGGAACTTCTACTGATGTTTAGAACATTTGAGCAAAGTTTAAAGGCCATAGGATGAAACGATGCAGGGAAAACTTGCCGAGCTAGCCGAACGCCACGATGGGGAAAAGGGCGACTACACTGATCTGGCCAGTTTCCTTCCCTGCTTCCCTCCATCCACTCTGCCTAGCTTCCATCGTTTATTTTTGGTCTTTAAACCCATGCCTGGACGACGTTCACAAAGGCAGTTTCGCCAACTTCGCCAGTTTGATCGAGGTCGGTTAGTTGGCGTGATGGTGGCTGGGGACGGGCCAAATGACTTCTCTGAGGACTGTGTACCGGCATGCAATCCAGCTGGGACTGCGGTCTAAACGACCTGTCTGACAACCTGTTCCCACCACCAAGACCTCCCGTGAACACGGGTAGTAGCAATTCGATTTCGGAGAATCTACGGCCTCAAATACCGGTCATCCCTGGGCGTCGGGATGCGAGGGCGGCCTGATCCTCGTTGCCGTTCAGGGTGTGCCCCATTCTGATACCAAGTCCACCAACGCCTCACGGTAGTCACACTTACACTTAGTCGATGCGCAACCTGTTGCATGCTATGGCCTACCTCCATCATGCCTACTAACCGACCTCAACAGAACTGGTGAAGTTGACGAAACTGCCTCTGTGGAGGTCGCCCTGGTATGGGTTTAAAGACCAAAAATAAACGATTGAAGTAAATCAGAGTGAATGGAGGGACGCAGAAAAGGAAACTGGTCAGATCCTTTCGTCTTATCTTTCCTTCCTTCCCAAAATTTCCTCGCGGGCCGCGAAGACGCACTCCTTGGGTCAAACTTTTCGCCCATTTCGATAACACGTGTCGAGGTCGAGCGTTCCTTAATTTTTGGGTAGGCCTAACCCTCTTAAAGCTAAATTTTTTTTTTTTTATTTGCGTGGAAAATAGTCAACTCCAGAGTTCTTCCTAATTGCAATATAACTAACTGAATGAGAATCTTTTCTTTGACTATTTTTGTCGGAGGTCCATCAACAGGAACAGCTGATTTTAAACTGTAAATTTAGCTACATTCCAGCTGTAGAGTTCTTTTTATAAAATTCCAACTGGGAAATTTCCAGCTGGAAACAGCTATTAAAACCATCTGCATTCCAGTTGGAAAATTCCAGCTAAGAAACAACTGGTACCTACTGTTTTCCAGCTCTTTGCCAGCTGGAAACGGTCCGAATTTACAGCTTTGGTCCAGCTGGAATATTCCAGCTGGGATTTTAAACTGGGCAGTGACCAACCAATGCTCAGTAAAGCTTCTTGTGACAACAAATTTAATTCCACATGTAGTCAAATGAAATTTCTCTAGCCAGATAGAATCCAGGAACTTTCAATACCACAGAGGCTTCAGAGAGCTTGGTGGTTTCCTCCATGAGCTTCCTTCTTGTAGTATCTGTCCTTTCCTCATAAACTTTCAAATGTTATTCCCTAGAACTTGGTGCAAAGGGATATTTCATCAGGCTACCATCAGTTGCTGTAAGATGTAATCGACAATCATATCAACAGACAACTAATTAGATGCAATTCCTCACTTGGGCTCAGGAAACAACATCAGCTATGATTAAGAATGATCCAAGATGGTCAGACATTGTCTCAAGTCTGTTTCCATGCCATTGCTATTGAGAAAATTTTCCCCAATTCATCCTTCAAGTAATTGAAGAACATTATCATGCTCAATTAAAATGATTTCCTTCAGACTAAGGACCAGTCAAAATAGGGGAATTCATTCATGATAAAGGCTTCATTTACTGTCCAGCAGAACCAAAGAGATGTGCTCTATCATAGCTCAGAGAAAATCTGGAGTTACATTTACCTCACAATCCATTTGTAATGTGGTCGTGCCTTTCGCAAGAAAAAGTTTTCCTTATTTGTAATGAAAACATTCAGTAATTTTCTTTTCCCACTTATGGAAGTCTTCATATTGAGAAATTCCAGTTTTTCCCCCCAAAACAAAAACTTTCCATATTTTTGGTGGAAACCTTTCCTGGTCTATTCATGATCACCAGTATATGATGTGAGTGTGATAAAGTGGGAGAAAGTCCTCCCATAATTCTGGAAGGGTCAAACATTTCCTGAGAAGACTTCTTCCCACTGCCCACAAAAGGGTTATCCATGTTTCCATCTCAAATATCAGAAGAGTTTGCATGATATTCCTTGCATAGGTCATTTCAATCAAAAGACTATTCCTGTACAAAGAAACATTTAAATCATGATTTGATGTCATGAAGTAAAACTATGCCTCTGTAAAACTCAAAATAAAAAGGCATTGTTCAGTCTGAATATCATCAAATTAGTTATGACACTATTAACCCTTCAGTATTCATGTGGCTTTTAATCTCATTAATACAAAGAAAAAATATGTACCTAACTAGTCATATGGGGTGAAAGGTTACCATTGACCTATTAGAGGAACACAAAAACATGACTGATCACCATGGGAGTGCAGGAACTATTGCACATGGGAGTTGAGGGTCACTGAAAGGTACTGAAGAGATCAAGCGTAAGCAAAACAAAACATGTTCATGATATGCTTGTAACAGTGGGGTTGGAAACACAATACCCCACATGACTACTGCAGATAGAAGATATGGGGTTGTATTCAATAAATAAAAAAAAGAATGCCTTTCCTCATGATGTATCAGTTTTATTTTCTAGCTCTTATAATTTGGGTTGTGGAGAGGGGCTATCCACATTTAACACACTGCAAATTCAAAATGTTTGAATCACCTTTTCCCCCAGTGAATTTTTACAAGCAAGGGCATTGGGCTCCTACACAATAAAATATAAGTCTGTCACAGAGTTGGCTGTGACTATAAAATACTTTGCAACTTTTCACATGATAGACAAGAATTGTCTAAACACTCTTACATTGTCTGATCTTCAGCAATCTATGCTAAACACTCTTTCTCAAATTATATTCAAATTCCTCAACATAGATTGTTGCCTTGACAACCTGTTTCAATTGAAAATACTAACTCTCATTCAGTTTGTGAAGACACCTACATCAGATTCGTGAATTTCTGGAAAGTAATAAGTTGTAGTTCCTGGGCTCTAAAGGGTATGATTGCATTTGGAGCAAGAAAAATAGATGAATAAAAATAATGAAATAGACAGCAGATGAAATAGACAGCAAGACAAGTAGGCCTAGCTAGGTTCAACCCCTGAGACATGTCACAAACTAGATCTAATTTCAGAAGTAGGATGACAGAATTTCCAGAAAGACACAATGACCTTTGGGTAGGATTACAGTTATGATCAATAAGTTCCACCTCCTGTTTTCAAAATAAAAGTCAAGAAAATAGATGCAAAAATAGTGTCAAGTTCTTCATAATTGGGAATCTCTGGATCTAATTAACTCCAAGGCAGCCCAGGCCTCTCTTATATTCCAGGTAACCCCTGCTTCTCTACCAGTTTCAGTGCCCTAGTGCAGGACCCTCATTTATATTACACCCAAATCATTAGACTTCTCAACTGCATAAAATGCATATTGACCTCTTACTTAGGTGGCTATGACAGATATTTTCATCCTGTTCCACATATTTGTTACAATTCATCTGTACCAATAACACTGGACTACAAAAGTATAATACCAATGTCAACTGAATTATAGTTCAAAACACAAAATTATTGTACTAAGCTGGAAAAATTTCTCAGTAGTAGTGGTGAAGCCCATGGATTGAAAACTCCCCACTTAAGAAGTTACAGGAATAAAAATCAATGAAAAAAAACAAACAAACAAGGAGAAAGGGTTCAAACTCACATCATTTGGAATATACATTTAAACTGTAACCCACTGTGCGTTAGGTCTCATATCGAGGTAGCCACAATTTGGTATATGAAGATAGTGGCAACTAATGACCCCTGGATATAACTGGATCCAAGGCAAGCTTGAATAAAAGTCTTGGATACTTGGTTTAAGAATACACCAAATTCTGGATCTGGGCGTGTCGAATTCAATAGTGGAAAGCATGGTAGTTCGTGACAACATTGATTTCATGGGGTGCATCTTCCGAACGTCCACAGATTCGTCATGGCAATGCCTTGAATAATATGGAATGAAATTTAAAAAATCACGATATGACGTGTTCGAAACCAGCATCCCCAACCTGGGGCTCGAAGCCGGTCGATTTAATTTGTAAAGCATGGCCCGGCGCGCCCATGCTGCGCCACGTGGGCCATGAGTATACTATCTATGGCCACGAGACGTAAGAGGGCTGCTTTGGGAACAGTCGATTCGGCCGTCTTTGTCTAATCTGAATCTTCATCTACTCAAAACGTACTGCGTAATGCATTCGCTACATCTATGGTATTTCTGATAGAGTAAGGGGGAATTTTCTTGCGAATACTGTCTGCTCAAACCATGGTCAGCACGGTGAACCAAAGCACCAGCTGACTGGTCAACCTAAACGGTCTGGTATACTTGGTGTTGAAAGGAGATAGGAGCAAAAGAGCAGAGCAACTTTCTTCGCGTCCCTCGGTTTGGCATTTCGACGGCCGAAAAGGTATTCCTTCGATGATGTAGCGACCTTGAGAAGTTTCGAAGAACCATCTCGCGATTCATTCGATCAAAGATCATCTTGTGACTTCATTTCCGACAGTCCGTCAGTAGAGAAGGCCTCTTTCACATGACATTCAATAAATCACATTGAATGCATGTCATTCCCACAAATTTTGACGAAATGATGAATGAAATGAAAAGGTTATAAAAGGCCATTTTTGCAGAAAATCTGTCGTTAACGGGCCAGCCAAAGGAATACTGAAACAAAGCTTTCAACTGTAAACCCATTCTCTGAAAGGTCCGGTGATCCGGTGATCGAATTCCGGAGCGAACTCCTTTTCGAAATATACCTACTAAGTCAGAAGATGCAAAGTTCTACAGTACGCATTCATGTGGAAATTAATTTGATTGAAAGCTCCCAGAACCTTCAATACGGAGAAAATGGCTTCGAGAGTGCAAAAAGCTGGGAGAAAATTAAGGACAGTCGCCGCGAAACTGCCGAACTCGTGTCGAGCGTAAGATTCGTCGGTTGCGAATCCGAGAACGAACCGATTTGGTTGCCAGAGCCGACGACGCACAACTCAGGTTCAGAACTAACTACTGTACAAAGCGATTCCTTAGGGTTAAGGAATGACGCCGAAAGGGTTTTCGGCGTCATCCCGAGTACGTACTCGTGATGTCCATTTACCCGCGTCACCCCGAGTACGTACTCGGGGCGATATTGGTTTCAATGCTTGTGGAACGGTGCTAGCAGGAAGAAAAGGCATGGCAAAGGACATAAAGAAAAAAAAGCTGAAACAAGGTGACGTAATCACAAGATGGTGTGGTTCGCTGATGGCTCTCAAATGGTACAGTATACATGTTGAGCAATTTTCATGATGCCACTTCTGTTGAAACTGGGAAAGAGAGCAGAAGAACAAACGAGAAAATAATAATAATAAACCACGTAGTGCTGGAGTGTAACAAGAATATGGGTGAGGTTGATAT